GATTTCAGACCTGGTTGATTTGGAGGTTAACTTCATGTAATCCTGGATCAGGTTACAGTTTAGAAACCAGATGTAGATACGTTCGCTGATGTCTGTGTGAACTTGTTTCTTTCGGTGTGTGTGTGTTTTGTATTTGCTCTGCGGGGGGCAGTCCTCATGGTTCTAAAGGCCCTGACACACCAAACTGACCCCAAAGAACACGTCCCCTACTGTTGTGTCGCCTCACGTCTCCTGTGCCTTGGCCAAACAGTCGCACTGGAACACACCGCAAAGACTTCAGCCGACGGCCAAGTAGCACGTACGAACTGCGCATGCGTGAGTGGCAATAACTCTCCTTACCAGCAGGCGGCGGTAGTGTGTATTCTTAATTCAAAAGAGGCAACCGGAAGACAGACTGCGTGATATATACAAACAAAAAATAGCGTGCGTTCCATTTTCACCCTCGTCCATCACAGACTGTTTCACATGGCGACTTATAATCGAAAACATGTTTAGTATGGTACTGGAACATTTAAAATAATAGCCGTCTGTGTGTGCCTTCTTAACTTCCGTTTCGCTTCTCATTCACTGATTCGCTAAGCTGAACAGCCAATCAGAGTGATTTATTTTGCCGACAGCCTTTTGCCGACCATAGATATATATAAACACGAGATGACTCACCCGCGCTGCTGGCCAATGGAGACCGACGTTGCCACATGGCGGCCATCTTGCCACAGGCAGCTCGCTCATTCATAACATTATGTCGATGGTGCACAATTGAAATAACCGTAGATTGCTCAATTTTCAACCAATTTTCAAAACGGTTTGGTTTGTTATAAACATCAAATATGTAGTTATGATACTGCATACTTATAATTATAATCATGTTTTTTTTTCAACATGTCTTGTCTCCTGTATCATAGCCAAGCTAATAACGTTTATAATAAACCAAACCATTTGTAAATCAGTCAAGATTTCAGTGAGTTAAGAGTATTTTTGTGCAGATCACTCAACTCACAACAGCTGTAGCAGTAGTTGTTGACTGTGGCAAGATGGCCACCGGTGAGCTACGCTGGCGACTCCCCCTTGAGCCATCTAGCCTTTATATATATCTATGTTGCCGACAGCCTTTCAACATGTTGATCGGGAGCGGAAGGTGTCGGCACGGCCGAAAAGACACGACGGTGCTGGACACACCAGTCTGAGTAGGGCGACATGACGCTCATCGACGTAAGATGTAGGTTCAGAGAGTTTGTGTAAACATGGAGAACAATGAACCCTTTGAACACCAACTGAGACAATCAGCTATAGGAAGGAGAATAGGAAAGGAGACTTTTGTTTTTCTTGGCGTGGGACAGTTAATGACTCCGGATTCACACCTGTTGTTCATCAGGGCTAACGAGGCTCATTAACGAGCTCCAGGCCTCTTACACTTCGGCTCCACTGTTTCACACCAGAGGAGATTTAAAACACTTTCATCTGCGTCTGCCAGATCATAACTCTGAACACAGTCTGCCTTTGTTTCTGGTCTACCTGCCTGCTTGCGTTTACTTTTATTTGTTATAGGCTAGTTTTTATCCAACACTTCAGCTCATTGATGTTTTAACTTGTTTGTAATTGTTAGTGTTTGTTAATGTGTTTCTCCATGTACAGTCTGCTTGGTATTAGTAGCCCCACTGAGGGATTAATAATATAGCTGTTTCGGAATTTTTAAATCGGGGTCCCCCGCCAGTGGGAAGTGGTTCTGTACCTGATACAAACCACAGAAGAAGAACTCACCAGCAGTTAATTCACAAAAATAAGAGCATGTCTAATCCAAGAGTTAAATCAAACACTTGAATGCATTCACAAGCGACTTCAGTTTTATACTCATTATCCAAAATCAGATGCATTTGATTATATGCGTGGAAATGAATGGAGCTCTTCTTCTTTGGTGCTTTAATCAAAACAAACGATTGATTTTTGTGTAACTTTATCACAAGATCAGAGGGAACCTTGCCAAAGTCTTTGTCAATTATTAGTAATTTCATTGATAATTGACACTGAACATTAGCCCTATTATGTGATGACATTTGCTCTAAATCAGACGTATAACATAATAAAATAAGTTATTTCCTTTTTTTTTTTTTTTTTACTTAAAGTGTGTGTGTGTGTGTGTTACCCCCTACACAGAACAAATACATTATTGGAAGAGGGAGTAAACTGCAAAAACATAACTAACTGTTCAGACATTTCCCCCAAAATCCCCCACGCACGCACACACAGGAATGTGATAGATACCTGCTCTGGATAATAACAAATTAAAGATGTATTCCTGAACTGAATAACACAAACACACACACAACTACACACAGTCCAGACAGATAGAGTGTGTGTTTTCAGACTTCAACCCAGGGGAACACAGCTGTGGAGTGATATGTGTGTGTTTGATATAATGTCATTTTTTTTTTCAGCATGTCGTTTGCTGTTCCTACATTTCTTTATATTTTTGTGTGTGTGTGGACTCTATATCTGTCTGCCTGCTGTCTTTACTCTGAGTAGTGTTCCTCTTCACTAAATAATGCACACCACTGTTAAATATGCAGGAGAAAGCTGTGTGTGTGTTTGAGAGTGTGTGTGTGTGTGTGTGTACTTTACATGTATGAAGGCGGAGCTTGTGTTTCCTGTTTTAAGTAATGATCAGTAAAATACTTCATAAAAAACACCTATCACAACTAACCAACACTATTCAACGCTCATTCATGGGAAACTAAAATGCCACTTGTTGTTTAAAGAGTTATTAATACTTTTCTATCCAATTTCATTTACGTTCAAGAGAGACCTTGTGTAGCTGCATTACGAATGAAACAACACTCACAATGTGTAAGACAGGTGGATACATAATACAAACCAATATTTGCCGATACATTTATTTCACTTTTTTTTGATTATCACAACTTGTTGAAACCTATATAGAGCAGATAGTATAAAACAGAATTTCATAAACTCTGTAAAAATAGGATTGATGTCCAAACTGATCCTTATCGAGGGTTCAGGCTCTGTTTCTGTGGTTCCGTGCTCCATACATCCACTGTGTGATCAGTGTGGGAGAGTATGTGTATGCCTTTCTTCTTCTCTTCCTCCTCTTTGCAGCCTCTTCCTGTCCGTACTGAGCTCAGCAGGCTGGAGGATGTGTGGCGATGACATTGAATTAGCGCTGTATGTGATACTGTCGGAGAAAAGTGTGTGTGTGTGTCCATCGTTTGATTTAAAAAACAGTCTTTGTTTCTGCTACTGAATACCAGTTTGTGTGTGTGTGTATACAGTTGAAGTGTGTTACGCCTCCATATGATATCCTGGGAAACCAAAAACCACCGGTCACCATGGCAACGCAGACAGATCTACTTACAGTGAGGCAGAGGAGACAGAAGGATTGTGTGTTAGTGTGTGTCAAAGGACACTAAATAAAACTGCAGCAGCTCATACACTAGAATAGATGGACCCAACATTTTCCCTGCGTATTAATTTTGTATTTGTACCATTTATCAAAATATGGACAGATACATTTTTCTGGCAATTGTTGAAGCTCTTAGAGAAAAAACTAGTTTTTAGAAATGGTAAATGTTTTTTTTCTCTGAGTCAAAGGCAGTGTATTAAATCACTACTAATTCATTGTTGGTTTAAATTAAATGTGACGTTAATAAGTTGAGTAACAATGAGTAATAAAGCAGAGGAGATGTTTACGAAAATGTGGACTGGAGCTCTAATGCGAAAATCACTCAGCCGCTCAATAATTAGAACCAGAAACAGTCCAAGTCCCCCACAGAGACACACACACACACACACACACACACACACACACACACACACACACACACACCACACCACACCACACCACAACACACACACACACAGTACAGTCAGAACTGTTAACAGTGCTCTTCCTCTTCCACACACACACCCACACACCCCCCTATGTGTGTCACTTCCTGTTCGGAGGGCCAGATGGAGGAATGCTGGGAATGTTGGTGTGTCGGGTTTTTCTTACGTGTTATTGAATGTTTTAAAAAAACATCAGAGAAAGTGAAGAAGCTTATAAGAAACCCTAAACTTAGTCATAAAAACATCACACAAAAAAGAAAATATACAACAAAATCAATTAGTAAATAGAGTATTGAGAAAACATTTTACTATCCTTATTTCCTAGTTTACTTTCAGTTTGGATTTATTTATTTTATTTGTTTCGTTGATAGGGGCAGTGCAGCTCATAAAATCTGATGTTAAAATGCCGAAGTTATTAGAAATACCAACAATTCCCAGCTATATTCTCTTTGCCAATGCGTTATAGTAACAATATACAAGTACAAACAGGGCAGATTCTAGCCAATTTGATGCCCTAGGCGAGATTTTAGCTTTGAGACACACTGAGATAACTTAGACTGAAGTGGACTATCTAAACACTCAGAGTCCTTTACCTCACTGAGCCTCTCAGCCTCCACCGTCCACTTCAGTCTAAGTTATCTCAGTGTGTCTCAAAGCTAAAATCTCGCNAAAAAAGGTTCTCTAGAACTAATTTAGTTCCTGGGACTTTTTGGTGTGAACGCAACTAAATCGTAGTTTCTCAGGAACCTTTGTGGGAAAAGTACTTGGTGTGAACGCGCCTAATGGAATAAAAGCAGCACCCTCGACAGTCATCCGACACCTCTCAAACTTGTTGCTTTTCATTGTTGGATTATTGCACTTCTCCTGGAGGAAGTGAAACAAGAAGCAGTTCTCCTGCTCTACACTTACAGCTACAAAGTTTCTACTTGAGTCATTTTGAAATGAGGTCAACGACAACACAGTATTTCAGCAACATAAGTCATCAACAAATCGAATGAATATTGCTTTTAAAGTTGTTTGATATGTTGTTCAGTCTTCAGAAACTACTTTTTGAATGCTTAGTACTACGGTGAAGTCCTGTCAAGTATCCATGTTTTTTTTTTTGAAAGGTTCTCTAAAACACTGAGCGTCCTGCAGTCGTGTCCGGCTCCTCCTCCGCGCTACGAGACCCGTTTCCTGGAGCTGGTGCGGCCCAGGCTGGCGGTGCTGGAGCGGCGGGAGAGGACGGGCGTGGCAGTGGAGGGCGACGTTTCGCTGGGGCAGCCGTGCTGGAGCAAGATATCGATGCACCCTTTGCTCCCGTTCTTTGTGGCCAGCTTCATCGCCGTCTGGCCGTGGTTATCTTTCGCCTTGACATCGATTCCGTACTGTGAGGACAAAGAGATGATATTCACTCACTCAAAGGTTTATTTAGAGATAAGATCAGGAACCTTTTCTCTTTAATGAATGTAAAACATAATTTGCGTATCCACTCTAGAGGTTACTCCTTTCCCACTGGCCCAAAACAGTTACGAGAACCTTTTGAGGAACTCAAGAACTTATTTCGATCGGGTGAAACCACAGGGTTCATTTACTGTTAATAATCATGTGATACAGACAGACATGCAGCTAATACACAGAAGAACAGTACCTTTCTGTGTTGTTGTTCCTTATTTTTTTTGTTATCGGTCTAGTTTGGCTTATCTACACATCACTTTCACAGGGATGTGAAACTTTTAATTCTAAGTTTAGTTCCCGTGGTTTCATATGTGTATGTTCTGCCTCTACTGGGACATGTCTCCATGCTTTAATGTTCAAAAAGCTCTTTGTTTTTCTCACACTGCCTGTGCTGCAACACCTCTTTTCACCCTCTGTCTGAAACCAGAGCCCAGTTTGCTCTGATTGGTTAGCTGGGCAGGTCTGTTTTGATTGGTACACAGCTTTGAGATGTCCCGCCCCTTAGCCTATCACAAACAAAGTGTGGGAGAGCTAGCCAATAAAGGTGTGAGTGTCACATAGTGATGTCACAGAGTCCAAAGGAGGTATTTCAGGAAGGGGGGGAGTGTGTGGGAGGAACCTCTGGAGGAAACTTTGGAATTGTAGTGTCTGTAGACCATTTACATGCACACAAACCTATATAACACACTACAGGTAAGGGAAACCCCTAAAAAGCATAATAGGGCCTCTTTAATTCTTTCTGTACTGGGTCGCAGTCATCCCCTCTCTTTCCCCGTTAAACTCATTGCACAAGTCTATCTAAATTAAAACTATTATTTAGAAAC